TTAATATTATTATTTTATACTGTACAATGATCTGCACTTTGATAAATGACAATCCTAAATGACGCCATTTAAATAGAATGATTAATTGACTGATTGATTGAAAGAATTTATAATTTGTATCTATTAAATTTTCATTTTTCTTATAACTAAGCAACATAAAATAATAAACATATCATGTTGCACACTTTGTGACATCATACCAGTCCAATGCTTGATGTAGATTAATAACCTTTCAGATGTCTCATAAGATTGCTTGTTTCAAGAGTAAATTTCCCGCACGATTAATAAAATCAAAACAATACTGGGTTTGGTCTACAGGAGCTCATGCTTTGTACAGGTCATTCCATTCATAGAAAAAGCCTTAATGGAGAAAGCGTACCTGTCATCAGCCATAGTAGCCTAGGTCAAAATATAACTCATACCAGGTCAATGGTTCACATACACTGATTACCTTTGAGGTATCTCAACAGGTTTGCTTGTTTTTCTTCGTTCTTTGATTTAGAAAAGATCCACTATGCATTTTTCGTCAAAATGACAATGGATAAAAAAATAAAAAGGGTTAATAAGAAATGGTGGTGAAGATTATGGGGAAGGGTGAATCTTCGACAGAAATTAAGTTAAACGAGTATCTGTTATATTATTTGAAGAGTTGAATAGCTTGGAGATTAAGATCCTTCCAATCATAGATTCTTAACCCTGTCACAGTAGTAGGGTATTTTTTTCTCATGATTAAAACTCCGATCTCCAAGCCTTAATTATAAAGAGACTTATTTTATAAAGCATTGTTCTGTCTGGTAATTAGGAAGTTACTTGCTGTTGGATGTGAAATACACAAAAAATGACTATAGCTAAATAAAAAAAATACATACTTTTAAATTTATGTAAATTATTTAGTCAAATGAGTTCAGCAAAGTACAGTATGTATATAACATGAAGCATTTATCATATCAGAGTATGAAATTATTGCTTAAATGTATCATTATAGAGTTCTTTGACATTTTGTTATGCATGGTTTCCATTAATGTGACTATGTGAGCATGCATCATATGGATATGAATAGGGATTGCACATCATAGCTATTAGTTTTGTTCTTTATAATTAGTTATTTTCTCTTTTTGTCAGGAATGACAAAAAAATCCCCATGCCCTCACAAGATTTGACACTTGTCTATGACAAAGATCACTAAAGAGAGCAGCTTAACTCAGTTGGCTAGGCTGGTGGGGGCCACTGCGTGTGTAATGACCTGTGGAGATCCTTTGGTACCCAGTTCAATTACATCCGCTGCTCTTCTTGTGCACCGGCTGGAGGGCTGAAATAAATGTATAAAAATGCGCACCATCTTCTGGAAGAGACGTTAAAAACTGTTGATCCTGTGTGCATGATAAAGAAAGCAGTACACTCTTTGGAAAAGAGTAGGGGATTTTCTCAAGTTGTACTCATCACCAGAAGGATCCCAGTGGAAAGAAGTTTTCAGACTTTCGTGGGTTATTCCTCACATTCACACCGAATAAATCCAATCCAATTTGACGTCCACTCACTGCAACAGTTACTAGTACGTCTGTCGGCCGCCGAATCCAACTTCGCTCCCTATGAGCTTTTGAAGATGCGATGCCGTCTGCTGATTGCCGGTGGTAATCTGAACGTATCATCATTAAAAACAATCTGTAGTGCGCACGTCGTGGCGTTGCGTCGTGTTATGAACAATGGAATATAAACAATGGAAAAATATTGGCATAAATTTTAGTTTTACGCAAAAGAATACAAAAAAATGAGAAATTCAAACTATTTCTCATAGGAGATTACCATTTTCTCGACAAAAGGCAAATTCAGAGGTTGTACAGTACTGATTACCGAACATTCGACATTACTCGCATGTATTGGCCGTATGTTTCACGAGTGAAAAGCGAGTGACATTATTCCGCGAGTGTTCCAATTAACGTGTGAATGATTTTACTCAGCATACACTTCCTGGTAAAAATCAGAACTTGCGGTCTATGAACGGTCACGTGGGCTTGTAAAGCTGTTTATTCACGATCTTTTACTAGAGTTCTGCTACGACTTTTCCTTCAGCACTGTCACGTAATCTGAATACACTCTTTTGTCTTTATTGTTATTAATACGGAGGGTGTTTCAGGCGTGGTTGACCAGTAGAGTTTTGAATAGAAGTGCAGTACAGTAATTGAATACAGTTAATTTTAGAAAACGAAAATCGTCTAAAGTTATCTTAAGTTTGTAATATTTCCAAATAATACAATCGTTTCATTATTATTTATGTAACTGTTTGTGTTTCAGACGTAGCAGGTAAACACATTCATGTTTAGAATATTTCAAATACGTCGCTCTCCGATATTCTAAATATTATTTATTATTCATATAAATAATGTTTGTATCTAAATAAAACGACCATCTCATTATTATTTTCATGTTTCATGCCTAGTAGGGTAGCAGATTTTTTAATACGTCTACAAATAAAGGTAATTCTTACGATATTTTAAATATAATTTTCGTAAATAACATTCCGTAAGGTTCAAAATTATAATGACCATCTTATCATTATCTTAATCATAATTGAACGCTTTTTGCAATTTTTTTTTAGTGTTTTGAGTCGTGGTACTGTACTGCCAGAGTCATTTTGGGATATTTAATAGGTCTATGTCTAAATAGAATTAATTTTTATAGTATTAAGAGAGATAATATAATTAATAACATTCGTAAAGTCAATTAAAACGACCGACTCGTCATTATTTAAGTACAGTAATATGAATAATCGTTCAATAATCGTTGTGTGTGTCAGACGTGATATTTTAAATACGTCTCAAATATAATTTCCTTAAATAAAGTGATAGTTGTACAGAATCAGAATGAATTTTGTTGTCTTAAAAACATTACAAAGTCATAGAAATTGTTTTCTTTGTTATAATATTATCAGACTGATATAAGTATAACAAATGAAAAGACCATCGAAACTTGAATTAAACCGGGGAACAGTGTTCCCTGATTAATTCCCTGATTAAACTTCAATGTTTTACTTTTTACATAACATCAATCCACTTCCGTTTGTATTGATTCTTTTAATTTGTCATGAACGGAAATAAACTGTTTGAAATAGGCACCAAGTTACCAGTACTGCAAGTTGCCTAGTAACTGTGAATTCAG